ATCAACCATTGTGACCGGTTAAGTTCGTGCCTGAAAGTCCTGCTTCAACAAGAAGAGCCTGCCACCCATCAATGCTGCATGAGTTCCGGTTGTAAGACATCTCATCGATCTCTAAAGAACATTACCGCAAGGCTGGACAAGGGGGGATGTGGCTGGGAGGGCCTGGGCATTGGCGGCCTCTGAGGAGGTAGCGCTACACCAGCATGGTTGCATAAAGAGCTCTTTGAGAAGTTGAGAGACAAAAAGGTCAAATATAAAAAATGGAAAGGGGGACACGTAATTAAGAATACCAATAAACAGCCCAAAGCTCAAGGAGAGAGTCAGAAAAGTTAAGGCCCAGAATGAATTAAAACTAATTCCTTTCATTGTGTAAGGAACAATGTAAGGAAAGTCAAGGAAACGACAGGTCCAACTAATGGAAGCAGATGACAGTGACAAATAGCAGGAAGAAAGCAGAACTAAATTCCTACTTTGCATCTGTTTTTATGCAAAAGAAAGAACCAAAATGCTATTTATCAAAAGCAGCACTGAAAGAGACAGAACAGGTATACAAGACAAAATAGGCAAGGCATTAATAAGGGAATACCTATTCACCCTGGATGAGTACAAATCACCTGAAGATAGTTTTCATCCCAAGGTTTTGAAGGAGCTGGCAAATGTAATTTCAGAACCACTGAATGTAAATGTCAGAACTGCCATCTCATGTCTAATGTTCGGTAACAGTCTGCCATGAACCCTGGGAGGAGGGTGAGGGTGAGGGTGAATGCTTGGGGGGGGAAAGTGAAAGTTACAAAAGTGAAGGTGCCTCTCCTAGATGGCATTTCAAGGTTGCCTCGCTATGAGAAGAATGCAGCTGAGAGCCAGCCTATGATCTGAGTGGCTGCTTCAAAAACATCTTCTTGGAGATTGATTGGACGATGGGCTCAGCAATGGAAAGTGCCTAAGCCAGGAAAAGTTTTATTTGGGGAATTGGTGCATGAATTTCAATTCTGGCTTTGCACTACTGTATTTCATTTGGCTTCTAGTAAATCATGTCTTTCTCAACCCAATGGTGTTAAGGATCATGTTTACTTAAAAGCCCAAGTTGAGGCTGGACTGACTTAAGCCAGAATTTCATTACCAATCGACCTGGAGAGATAATCTACCATGGGGGTTGTGCAAATCATGCCTGTCTCCAATTATGAACAAGTGGAGAAGGAAAGTGGGGGAGGTGCCATAGCAAGACCAGAGAACAGATCAATCAGAATAGAGCTGGAATGGAATTTGGAGGTTTTGTAGTCCAGCCCCCTGCTCAGACAAATGATTCTCCAGTCTCTTCTTAAAAACTCCATAACTTCTGAAGGCAAGCTTTTCCACTGGTTAATTGTCCTCACTGTTAGGAATTTCCTCCTTAATTCCAGGTTGCTTCTCTCCTTGATTTCCATCCATTGTGTCTTGTCCTGCCCTCTGGTATTTTGGAAAACAAATTGACTTCCTCCTCTTTATGGCAGCCTCTCAAATACTGGAATATTGCTATCATGTCTCCCCTAGTCCTTCTTTTGCTCTAGACTAGCCAAACCCAAATCCTGCAACTATTCTTCATATGTTTTAGTCTCCAGGCCTTTAATCATCTTAGTTACTCTTCTTTGCACTTTTTCCAAAGTCTCAA